TTTGACGATTCCTCCGGTCGGCCACCGTCATGGCGACGAACGTCACCGTTCCTCGCTCCCTCACCGGAAGCGGCGCCTTGGTCACACCGGTGACCAGGAACTTTTCCTGTGACGAAGCGGACCTGAATACACCGATCGCCAGTCATTTCATAGAAAGTAAGTATGGATTACAGGCACGCAGAGCAAAAACTTTCGTGCACATCGTTCGTCGACATGCAACTCATGTAAACATCAAACGTGTCAACATCACCATTTGCTGCATGACGGCAAGGAGTACTGCAATCAGTGTGCAGAACGACCAAACGTGAGCCAGTTTCCTGGATAAGACGACTGTAGTTCTGATGAGGTTAATCCCTAAGTGTCCTGATTCCTGCTTCCTTCGGATCTCTTGACCATGTTTTCGAGTTTCTGATAACTCTCTGATCGGTTAATGGAAGACTAGTCGAACGACAGACACGACTAAGAGCGATCCAGCTTCAGTGTCTAGAATCACTTTTTACTGGCAGTTCTTTGATCATTTCATCATCACACATTCGCCGTGTATAAATTTACCAATGACCCAAAGTTTATGAGATTATCCAACATTCATTGGCTGTTATCATTTGCAGAGTCAACCTGAATGTGAAAATGTACTAAAGCTGTTTCAACAAATTATATGCAATTGCATTTTCAGGCCATTTTTTTTGAATCAGCGTTTGTGAGTTTTTTCTCGTAAATCTTCGGAAATTATTTCTCTCGATCATTTCGAGTTCCAGGGGACTCTCGAAGGAAAGGGTATGACTGAAAGGTGATGAAAACCTAGCAAAATGCATTGGTTTGAAGTTAAACTTCATTTTACGGGCACTACGCCTTAGTAAGTCAAGAGATTGTTATTCTAGCAGCAAAAACTTAAACCTGCTCAGTCATTCACTTGCTCAATACATTTTTGTGAGTACATTTGTGTAAGTACATTTGTAAGTACATTTTTGCAGTTTTACTTGTGCTGTGAATCCATCTGCCAGATTTGTGATATTTTATAACATAAAAGCAACTGATATGCAATTTGTGCAGGTATTTCAGGTGGAAGGATGGTGCGCTGTAATTGTTGTTGCTTTTCTTGTTAAAACTGGATCCGTAACTCATCTGACTAACTCTAGGGACTTTGGAAATGCTACTTTTCATCACTGTCAATTATCCACAGTGCCCGCCAGCTGTCTAAGCTAGTCCCTTATCCGCCATATGTGCACTGCTGACCCAGAAAGTACTTCAACGTCAGGCGTGACGGTGTCCCATCACCATTCTAAACTTGTCTTTTTGATTCCGTCCAGAGATTAGGGTAGCTTTCATTATAATGGATATTAAGTATACTGGATTACGTCTATCATATTCGAATAGGACATTTTAATTCAACGGTGAATTAATTTCCTCTGTTGGTCCTGTTTGTTTCTCATCTACCCAATGATGATAAAATTGCTTTGTGCTGATGATGATCATTTGTCATTCAAGCAAATAGACCTGATTGATCTAATTGCCTCTTTGCCTACCACTATACTGTTCAGATAGAGAGCCCGCTTTCTGTTCCAGATTTCATTCAGATACTTCTCCAACGAGTCAGGATGAGACACGCCTATAGCTACCGAAGCAACATTGCATGTACCTTCGAAGTCCTTCGACTATACCGGGTTGAGTAAGTGTTTCTGGTTCTAAAACAAACTTTCATGACAACCGTAACGCCTGAAGAAACTGCATAGCATGTGCGACTATATGTCATTCAATGCATTTTTCTTATTCTCCACAAATGCATTTAAGTTGCAGAAAAGTAGAGGATGGATTACAACTGAATACTTGACAAAACTCTGAAATCAATAGCGAGGTCGTGTTAATCAGGGTTGAGATTGAGAGGACTTTTATTCCTCTATTGGAGAAATTCTATCTAAAGGAAAAAACTCTGGCTTACAGCAAGAACGATAGAGTTGATTTGACCTTTGCATCAATCTCAGAATTGAGAAATTTACATAAAAGTGGAATCGATCGGTCATCTCTCATTGAAGCAGTAAACTTTCGTTCATTCATTCAATATGCCATGACTCTATCATTGTAAGATGAATTGTGCATACTGAACTGAGGAAGGCTAGGTGACGCTGCGAGGACAGTCTCATGCCGTGGAGGGAAAACAGCATCATTCGTGACACTCCGATGAGGAAGACCAGTGAAATGTAATGCAATGTGACTGAACAAATTTCGGTATCATTTATCATCCACAGAAAAGCATTTGCCGTTACTGTTATATTGATGGTTTACCGTCCGTCTATCAAAACATCGCTGCTAAGAGGCAAAGCCTTAAAGGATGAGTCAACGCTCACACAAGCTCGACACCTAAGAACCAACAAATCCGACATGCCGGTAGGCAATGCTGAAAAAATAGGCGATGACATCAGTTCGTGCGCTGGAGTATGCGAATACCTGTGAAACTGCTTCAAGATATGAAAGTGTCGAATGATGACGAGCAAAGCGTTGCTCGAACGAGTAAAATGATACGAAATTCATTTATGCTGTCAGAATTTCAACACCATGGAGCTGTGACTTGGATAAATCCCCATATGCAAGTAAAAATAAGGAAGTTGTGAAGTATGCAATACACCATTAAATCGATTCTGAAGCACTTGCGGGTTTTTTTAATTATTATAGCGAGTCTTAAATGTCGGTTGAATAATCACAATGAGTTCTAATGAGCTGAAGCGAGTACGTTTAGTACTGTATTTCAAATTGGCTACGCTTTCACGGGGTTTTCTCATAGCATCGTTTACTTCAGGCTTGAACACCGAATATATGGTGTTTCTTTGTATCAGTTCGATTCTGACCATGGCCATTGTGGTGAATTTTTTGGTGCAGATCACATACGTGGTTATTTACGTTTCTGATTACGGGAAGATCACCAAATTAGCATGGATGGCTGGTTTATACCCGGTAAGATGTTTGTTGTTGTTCTGCAGTTTTTCAGGCCTTTTAGGACTGAAGCTAGAAATTGAATAAGGTAAAATGTCAATCTCTGCATAGGCAAATAATGACAATAATTGCATAGCTCTATTATGCTATTTCTCATATCCTGGTCAGTTAAATGACGCGATGTAAATTGCACTTGCTTTTTTTCATTTTTATGCCAACCAATATGTCTCGTTCAAAACGTCTTTCTGTATTCCCATAAAGAGGCAAACAGCTTTCAAAAAAACGACTTCATCGTGTTT